AGAGCCTTCCACTGCTGAAAAAGTCAGAGATGGCAGCTATAACTTTCACTAAGAAAATGCCTGTTAAAATCACGCCTGTTCTGCAGGTGAACTCCACACATAAATAGCGAACCAAGAAGAAGGAATATGCCATACATTTTTAAGAATTTTTTGTTAATAACCAACTTTAATGCTGTCTCACTTCTTGTTGTACAGAATCCACAAATCTCTTCATTGTAGTAATTTCCTTTCAATTCCTCCTCAGAAGTTAAGCTCAAGCACAGTGGAAGGCATGTAATCCTTATCATAGAAAGAATAATAATAGAATTGAATACTAGAATAGAAAATCGCCTTTATTAGCTAATTTGTTTAAAATATGTCCCCTCCACATGATTTTAATATTAATTCCTAAAAATAAGTAAGTGAATAAAAAAGAATAGGAAGGCTGTGTTGTTGATTGCATGACCCCTAAGAGTGATTAGCATCTAATTCTCCTTACAATATCACCCCCTAAATCACACATCAAGGTCATGAGAATAAAAGAAATGATCACCAACTTAAGAAGCTCTTGATTGTTGAACAAATTCTCCTTGTCAGCACCTTAGGAATTGTATAGGGAATAGTTAGGAGAATATGCATACCAATATTAGGGTGTAAAGGGTTAAAGAAAGGTGGTAAAAGTTTTTTTCATGAATATGCTGAGGATGAAGAACATAAAAGTACACAAGATGTAGTCAAACCTGTATTAAGCAGTCACCCTTAGGGAATGGCAGCATGTCAAAGCTTAATACAAGTTGATGAGCAAATGACTTGCCCAATGTTTGTGTGTAAACTGCAATGTTGAGGTCATTTTTGAACTCAGAGTACTTACATTGATTTGGGGAGATATACATGGAATACATTGTACCTGAGAGATTTTTCTTATTTTTATTTAATTAGTGGTTGTGCTATAAGTGACTATTCAATGCAGGTGGAAGATAATACAAACCTGCCTTTAAGATTCAGTTAGGGGTGACCACGAACACGGAACAGAAGTAAAAATTACAGTTGTTAAGAGAAAATATTTGGGACTTTGACAACCAACCACCTAATACAGGATGACCACTTAATATAGTGCTACTTACATGTAAGACCGTTTTGACTGTACCTGTCACAAATGAACTTAATTGTGGTCTAACTTGACATTAGAAGTTCCAGGGGTCAATCCCTTGTGGGGAACTGTGAGATTATTTCCCTTCTTTGCCCTTGTGACAAAACAATTAACAAGTTTTTATTTAAGAAAGAGATTCTTGATCATTAAAGTCACTATTAGTTTCCTTTTTTTTCAAGTTAATGACCAGTCAACCTTAAAGATTGCAGAGGATAAGATGAAGAGCAAGACACATTAAGGTAAATATCAGTTTTCAATTTGGAGAAAATTTCATCCCCAAAATCATTCTTAGCCAAAGACAAAATTATAAATCAATATTAATCACAAAAGTAATTAATAAAATTAGGAAGATACAATTAAAACAATCAGAATTTCATAATCATCAATCTTGAGCAATCTTTATTTTCTGTTCTTGGTTTTGCTTTGACACTGATAGTTGAAAAAGCAACTAAACATCACTGGTTGATTGTGATAAAATAATTTTACACTCAATGAAATAATTATGTTTTATAATAGAAAGAGTTGATCTCGTTTTTTTTTTGTTTGATTTAAAAATAGCACTAAGGAAAAATAAATTCATTGTTTCACAAGATATGTCTCAGATTTATTACAGGTACTATGGTATGTAATTTCATTCTGCGAAAAAAAATCATGACATAGTGAGGCAGTGTAGCTGAGTCGTTAACCCTTTAACCCCCAGAAGTGACCAACATGTAACTTCTTCCTATGATATCCATGTTTTCTAGCAAACAGTTTATGAGAATACTCAAACTTATCTGAAAGTTTTTATCTTGATCTAACACCAAATTCTTGTAACTAATTTACAAGGAATTGTGTAGCAACAAGAGGAGAGAATTAACAATCAGATCTTGGGAATTAAAGGATTAATGTGCTGGTCTTGTAATCAGATGGTTCCAGGTTCAAGCCTTCCACCCTGCTACTCACTGAGTTTTTTCTTGGTTACGTTAAGGTCAAATAGTTGGCCGTGCTTCCTATTTTGGCCTACTGGTTTGCAGCTGGCCAGTTAAGAGATTTTTAGTGTTTATTCACATTGTTCATTTAAAATGTGTTTGTATTGGCCCTGAAAAGCCCAATTCCACAAGAAGAAGCCTGAAACAATTCAGGCTTTGACAGGGTTTGAACCCATGTCTCTGTAAGTGTTCATAGTTGAGTGTTCTACCATCTGAGCTACAAAGCCATGCACACACCAGGAGCAAGCCAAGAATCCCTCCATTAGTGGCAATCATCCCCAGACCAAAACGAGATCTATTCCATTTGTTGCTCATACATTCCTGTATGGGAGCAAAGACCCCACAATTACATTTTAGATTGTGACATATGACTTCATAGCTCATCTGTTTGAGTGCTCAACCGATATATGGACTCTGTCATAACCTGATTTATTCACACTTCTCCAACTTTGAGGATCACTCCCTAATTTGTAATTATAGAGGGCAGTTACAAATAGGAAGTTTCTGGGAATTCTAGAAGCCAACTAGTCATGTCATATGGATACTGGAGCAGTGTAATGCAATGCTCTGTAACTTTCTAAAACATTCTTCTAAGTGTTGTCTTACAATCTATAATGCTTAGGAAAATGTTAGTTATATTATAATATTAGCTTCCAAAACATTCTAAAATGACTAAAAAATGTACATAAGATGTCAGTCACTTAAAATAATCTTTTCTGTCTCCAAAGACTTTCAACTGTTTGGAGAAGCTAAAGAAGGCTACTATGGTCTTCTATGAAAGTTGGCCTACAGTCATTCATACATACATACAAAAATACATACATACATACATTTATTGCACTCTCTGAACAGGTCTTTTCAGTAGCAATATTGAAAAATTAAATGCAAATTCTGAAGAATGCAAAACCAAATGAATCACACATCATTACCTTGAAATTTGTGGTCAAAATTAAAGAGAATAAGATTGCTACTAACAGTATTTCCTTATATTATGTTAAAGCATTTCAAATACTGTTTTCGTTTAAGAAAAGTTTGTCTAGGAGTTTGTCAAGATTTTCAAAAGAGATTTTGAGATAACAGTGTTTGACTGGAGTTTAAGCCAGTAATGGGCTGTTGTTGTTTTAATTTAACCTAATGATTAAGTCTCTTATGCAAGGCTTTTGGGATGAAGTGATCATAAAGTAATTTGTTGTGAGAAAAAAGTATAGAGGGCTTTAGCTTCAATGCCCAGGACATTGATCAAGTGTTTTTTCACTTACAATATCTAAGTAGTCCCTTCAATCACAAGCACAGCACTTTTGTTAAGGAAAACAATAATATAAAAGTATTCTATGAAAAGAAAGTATTCAAACTACTTTTATGAAACTAACTTATGAACCTGGCTAGAGGAATAGCAGCAAATAAATGCCATGAAGGAAAATTGTGATGTTATCCCTAAAAGGCCATACACATTCCCCAACCTCCCCCCTCCCCAATCAAAAGAGAAATTAGCGACAAAATTTAACTGTATACTATTTGATATTTACAATAAATACAAATTGATCTGGTGAACGAAATTGGTAAATTACTTCAGTAAAGCAAGAAAATGTTAAGAAAATGTAAAGAAATTAGTCAAACCCTTAGATAGGATTTGGTGATTACCAGCTATACATTATTACACCGTTATTATTGAATGACTAGAAAACTCTTGAACAACAGTGCAATTCCAATAAAAAACAGATACCTTACATAATCTTTAAAGAATCTACCAGTAGATTAAAGCCAGGTACATTTTGTAAATTTAATCTCAAAAAGGAAGTGGGAAACTGACTTCTTGAAAATTACAGTACCGCTCAGGGTACTGAGCAGGGTAGTCAGACGCGTATATACGATTTTTTGGTGCGTACGGTTGAAAAAAATGCGCGACTCGTGTGCCTTTGTTATTCAGTACCACAAGTTTCCTTTGTTTTACATTGTTGGGTGAAACAAAGAACTTTTAGGTTTGAAAAAGCGGCGAGAAGACAACGGAAAATTTACCTAATGAAAAAAGCTACCATGTTACACTCACGCATGTCCCGTCGCTTCGCGAATTTATTGAATAACGAGCAGTAGCAGTAGATTTGCTTGATATGAGTTGTTGATGAATCAGCTGGGAAGGAAAATGTCACTTACTCAAGGCATCGAAACGCATGTTTCATTGAGTGAGTAACGAAACAAATACTCACTAATATGCTTCCCAATTTATTCATTGCAATCAGCGCTCCCTAGGATGTTTACGTCGCGGAATGTAAACAATTTGGTGTCTGCATCGTAGGTGATGATTTCTTCGAAACTTCGAACCTACCTCGATCACCTTCGATGAGGATCAGAAGCAAAATAAGGTAAATTTCCGCACAGCCCCAAACTTCATTATGCATGCACATCTTTGGTGCTACACTGAATGATAAAGCTCCATATATGGATGCAAAATGAAGTACGGCGCTGTACGAAAATTTTGCCGGAAAATATCCTGTTTAAGATTGTGAATGATGTTCACTTTTACTCATTGCAATCGGCGCCCGCTTCAGTGTTTACGCACTGGAATGTAAACAGTTTCATTTCGCTCGTGATGATTTGTTTGATTACGGAGCGCATAATGTTACAACGATGAAAGGTCAAGTTAAAGTAAATCGCAATGTCAAAGACGAAAATGCACCTAAAAACCGAAAACGCTTCCACAGACTACCGTTCAGTATCTTATTATGCAAGCGTCTGTCAATAACGTCTAAATATTTCAGAACAGACTCTAAAATCTGTCATCAACCCATGGTATTGATGTTTTGCCTAATTGTACGCGCCGGCGAGTCTTAAACAAACTTGAACTATGTGTATCCTGCTGTAAATTTTTCCGTTCCCATTTTTCGAGCAATTTGGTGAACATCGATCATCGATCAATGATTTGACATTTGTCGAAACAAAAAGCAAATCCGGTTTCTCTTAAAAATTTGCATACGAGTCAGAGAAAGAAGTAGTCGTGACAGGTAAGCATACTGTAACACGACACCATTAAAATAAGTGATTAGAGCTTATAAGTTTTTGGATTAAATGGCGATATGAATGAACCAGTTTTCGAGAACAGCATGTTCACCGATGACAAAAGCTCTGAAATGAGCATTCGGACGTGGGTTTGCATTCAGAACGCGACAACTTGTTACAAACGGGTGCCTTAGCTGATTTTACCGAATTCCCAAGCCAAAAAAAATTAGCGAACAATTTGGAACAAGAAACAGCAGTTTATAAAACGACTACTTTACCATTTTTTAAATTTGTTGTAACAGCAGCAATGCGTCCATCATTGTTCATTGCAATCCCTCTTACTTCAAAGAACTCGTCACAATTTTGGATTTGTACACTACGAACAAACTCACCATCTTTGCTCAATATTTTAACCTCCAGGAGGTTTCTGCTTAATTCTATACCAGCGACGACGACATGTTCACCTGCTGGTTGAAATGTGATGCTCGTGTACTTAAAGAAACTTCTTTTCAGTTTGAACTTGTTCAGATAGTCGCCGTGTTCACTGAATATGTGAACAACCAAATCTGCTTTGAGAGTATCGCTGCGGGAGGGATCATCATTGTCCAATACTAAAACACGGCCATCGTTAGCAACAGTGATATCCACCGCATACCTCAATATTTCTTCTCCAAAACTGCGAACAAATTCTCCATTACTGTCATATTCCTCCACTGCCGTCCCGTCCCCCAGGGTCATTACTTTCCCTGTATCTCTGACCGATAGTCGTCTGTGCCAGCGCTCTCCCTTCAGACGAAACCTGTGGTGCAGGTCAGCGATTTTATTAGGTTTATAGACCCACCAAGATCTCTCAGATCTCTCAGATTCATGAAACCCAGGCTTCCCCATCATGGTCAGCACAAAGATATTGTCGTTCATGTCCGTGACTACATCTTCAATACATAACGGTGTAATTACGTCCTCGGTAGGGAGACCGAAAACTTTCACAAGCTTACCGTTTCTGTCAAACACCTTCAAGCAACGATCTTTATCATCCCCGACGATGAATTCTCCGCTGGAGTTTGTAGCGATACCTATCGGGCTCTTCAGCTCGTGTTCCTTCTCACCTTCCCGACCAAATGACGATGGTGTTACACAACAATGCTCCATGCCTTGTTGAAGAAGTACTTTGGTTACTCTTGCGTCATACAGTAGATTGAATTTGTTGTAACCAGTATCAACTGGAGGCCAGGTCCAAAGGTGTGTGTCTCCACCGAACGTTCGAGTGACATCGTAGATGACACGATTCACGTGACAAACACTGGAGATGACTTCCCTTCTTTCCTCTTTACTGAGCAAACCTTTCACTGCCTGAATGCCTTTCTTGAGCTGAACATGAAAGTTATTCTGTACTGCTGGCAGAGAGTTCAGTTCCTTTAAACACACTCTGCATGGTGCCAGTGCATTAGCGGGATTGTCTACTACCTCTAATATGGTCGCCATGACTCGATACTTCATGGCCAGAATGCGGTCAGATGTTTTAAGGGCTTCGGTTTTAAAAGCTTCTGTTGCTTTTCTTCGAGCATCTTTGAATCTTTTCTTTGCAGTGGAAAGCTCACCTAAAGCAGATTCATCCAGGCCAGTAAGCTCTAACCTTTTGATTCCTTCAATAAGAAGAAATGCTTCATTGGAGGCCGCTGCTGGTGCTGTTACCGCGCCACACTCGCCTCTAGCGTTTGCTATCTTAAACAATTCATACAACGACTCAATTCCTTCCTCAAAGAAACTGATGCTCGCTTCTAAATCTTTCCTCGATAACGCGTCCAACTTTGACTTGATTTCGTCGCTTTTGTTGACGATCAAGGAATGGAATTTTTGATCTGTTACATCGCCATCTTTCAGAGTCTCCGCGACCTTATCTATACCTTTACTGACTAGCAAACCGATGGTGTATTGGAACGCGGTTATTGCTATCGAGGACATAGCGGTTGAATGAAGTTGAGGTTAATCTCGGAAACTTTTTATGCGCCAATAGAAATTGTGATCTTTCTTATTCTTGCGCTCTGATCAAATGCGATAACC